ATTGTCTATGGTTTGCGGATAACAAGAATTTCGTCGCCGTCAGTGGGGGCAACTTTACGATGTTAAACGTCAATGAATCGAGTTTAAAATTTAAAAAGTTTCTTCGTAACTGACTTTAATTTTTGTTTTCTCTAACACCGCATTAATTGATGTTTAGATGACAACGTAAGATAGTTTTACTGTAGTTAGAACAGTTTTATTGGCGTTTTAGGTCTTTATGTTGTATCGAAATATAAACTTTGGCACTGGTTTTTAAGTAAAGTTTTTCTCACTTATTATAACTATTTCACTGAGATAATAACAGTACAGTGGTGTTAACACATATTCTTTACATTCATTAGTAATTTATCACTTAAAACATACTTAAAATACTTTTAACGAATTTCAATAAATAAAATCACTTGTTTACAGTCAGCTGGTGTTGCCACCTGGGTGGAATGTTGCGGCATTTTTAGTTTTAAATTCTCCGATGACCTTAGGTCCCTGCAATGTGTGTTGTGTAAGAACTGAAAACGTTCTTTGAGATAAGAGGGTGTGCGAGGATGAAACAGAACACTGTATAAAAGAGAAAGAATATGAAGATTCCGGCGAAAGCGTATTGGTAGCCACTTGAGTTTAAAACGATACTCTGAGATGTGATCATATTTGCGTAATCCAAATATGAATCTAATACATAGGTTTTGGAGTCGCTCAAGTTTATTCAGTTGGTCTTCGGTGAGATCCAGATAGCTGACATCACCATAGTCAAGGATAGGAAGAAGAAGAGATTGTGCGAGCGCAATTTTAGTATAGGTGGGAAGGAAGTTCCGTAGCCTTCGCAGAGATCCTGCCGCTGCAAATAGTTTCCGGCTAACTTCTCCAACCTGGGGGCCCCAGGATAGGTACCTATCCATGTGGATCCCCAAGTTTTTTACCTTTTCACTGTAAGGTACAACCGAGCCATTGCAACAAACAAATGGTATTTGCTGAAAGTTTATTTTACCTTGTAGCCTGGGACTACCTACAATAATCACCTGTGTTTTTGTGGGGTTTACGCTTAGGCCATACTCCCTACTCCAGTTACATATTTGCATTAAGTCTCTATTTATGGCATCCACTGCTTTTGTTAATTTATCTGGAGTAGCTTGTGAGTAGATTTGGAGATCATCTGCGTAAAGATGGTAGGAAGACAGTAATTGATTTGTGATTGAGTTAATAAAAACTGCGAAAAGTAAAGGTGATAACACGCCGCCCTGAGGTACGCCCGCAGATGTTGTGAGCCAAGAAGAATAAACGTTTTCAGTACAAACACGCTGCTGGCGACCGTACAGGTAACTACGAAACCAGTCAATTGCCGATGGAGATATGTTAAGAGAGCACAATGTACCCAGCAAGACATCAAAATCCACAGTGTTGAAGGCGTTGCTGAAGTCAAGTAAAGCAAAGACCGTTAGCTTTCCTTCGTCCATGCCTGACCTAACATCATCCGTAATATGGACTAGAGCTGTTGTAGTGCTATGACCTGGACGGAAACCTGACTGGAAAGGATTGAGGAGACAATTTCTTGAAAGAAATGAAGTTAACTGTGTGTGAATGAGACGCTCGAGGACTTTGGAAAGAAAAGGAAGGATAGATATGGGACGGTAATCTGAAAAGGAGGACGGATTACATTTCTTGGGGAGAGGAATAATTTGAGCCATTTTCCATGCAGAAGGAAAAACGTTGACGGATATGGAATAATTATGTGTCCTGGAATCACATACACAACCTCTGGCTAAGTTAACCAACATGCCTATCATAATAAATATAGTCCTATAAGTTCCCTACTAGGAACCTTTTTAGCACGCTTTTATTAGCTTGGTATGTATGTGTGTATGTATCTAAGTATATAACGGAATCTTGAAACGTGATTTTCACTCACTTCAAAAATTCGAATTAAACTGAAACTTGGCATATTTCACTTTATCAAAGACCGATGACAATGCAATAATTTAAATAGTCTGTCCCATTATCCTGATCAGGACTTTCAGGAGTAACGGTTTTTTCCATACCTAAAAAGAAGGTAGTGTCTTTTGCCACGTACTAAGGAGTGTGCTCAAGCAAATGTGATAAATTTATTTGTTACTTTTCTAGTTAATAAGGTAATAATCATTATTCATCATCAAAAAATTGTTAAAAAAAACTTAAGAAACTCGCTTTTGTAGCTAGCTCAACTAAAAAGTAGGAAAAAAAATCTATAAGTTCAAAAATACAAAATCATTTTATCGTAAAAATAAATCACATAAAACAATTTTCCCTCAATTTTCTATAAATATTGTAATAGGGAAATTAGATGTAGAGAACAGACAAATAAAAACAGACCTAAATTTTCTTGCTTCATCATCATCATCAACAGCCTTCAATAGTCCACTGCTGGACACTCCTTAGAAAGGAGGTTTTGGCCTACTATATCAAGCTGGCCAGACGGGTTGGTATAGGGTTTGTGTCAGGTACCCCTCTTGTGGAACATAGGGTACGACTGGGCCCTTCGAGCCGATTTCCCCCTCGGGCTGGGTGCAATTTTTACGCAGATGATACTCTGGTTACAGCCCGGGGGGCGAACTTCCAAGAGGCGGCGCGCCTGGCCACAAGGGGAGTCTCCCTGGTGGTCGGGCGTATTGAGGCGCTGGGTTTACGGGTGGCCCTAGATAAGACGGAGGCTCTGTTATTTCATGGGCCCCGTTGTGGTCCACTCCCTGGCTCCTCAATTGTGGTCAACTCGGTCCTCGTACCGGTTTGGGCCCAGATGAAATATCTGGGCCTGATCCTCGACGGGAGGTGGCTCTTCGACGAGCACTTCCGACAGCTTGCTCCAAAGCTGGTCGGCGCTGCGTCTGCCATAGGGCGACTTTTGCCCAATTTGGGTGGACCCAGCGTCGCGACAAGACGGCTGTACACGGGGGTTGTCCGGTCAATGGCACTATACGGTGCACTGGTGTGGGCGGCGGCTCTGACCGCCCAGAATAGGAACGGCGGTCAGAGCCATACGCGGTTACCGCACCGTTTCGACGGAGGTGGCGTGCGCGTTGGCCGGAACTCCCCCGTGGGATTTGGAGGCGGAAGTGCTCGCCGAAGTTTATCGGCGAGTGGCTGACTCCCGGGCGGAGAGCGGATGTCGCTCTCCGCCCGAAGACGTGCGCGAGTGGCGCGAAGCCGCTCGCCGAGCCACGATGGCTCGTTGGTCGTTCCGGCTGGAGACTCCACGCGCTGGCTTCGCCGCCGTGGAGGCTCTCCAGCCGGTCATCGCCGAGTGGGCAGGGCGGCAGCACGGGACCCTTACCTTCCGGCTGACGCAGGTGCTTTCCGGGCACGGTTGCTTCGGAAAGTACCTACACTCGGTCGCTAGGAGGATCCGCCGCCGGCGAACCGGGCGGCGGAGGCGCACTTATCACCGCCTCATGCCGCCCTGAGTGTGGCCGCGGGTGGACGGGGTGGGTTTCCCCTCCACCCGAATTAGTTTGGCCAGCCCCGAGGGGGCGGCGTCCGCGTGTGCCGGACGTCGCCTAAAGAGAGAAAAATTTTGAGACGGAGCCCGCAACATGAGCGGGCCGGCGCTAGGAAGGGTCCGGATGTCTTAATAACAGCTATTCCCGGATCCCTCCTATTACAGGCGCAGAGTGGCACACCGTGTGGTTTTAGTCGGTCCGAGTCCGACACACCACCCCGCCGCAAACGGTCCGAGGGGATTTCCACACGTTAAAAAAAAAAAAAAAAGGGTTTGTGTCAGGTTTTCCTTCTCTCTGAAGTGCTGTTTTTTTCTTGCTTCATTAAACTATAATTGATAATATTATAAGGAGTTTCTTAGAATTTCATAAATAAAACAGCATAAGCATCTGATGGAGACTATGCATCAGGGTCCATTACACACAATAACATTTTCGTGTCGCAAACTGCACCCGCCCTTAACTTGATCATAGACTCTGCATTCAAAATTGCCTATAGGTGTCGCAGTTTATTTGTTCCTTTGCTGTTCCAGTGCTGATTAGACCTTTAGTTCCCTATATTAGATATAAAATTCATGACCCGAAGGTCTATCAGAACTTAAAGGCTTGTAAAGGGCTATGATTTTATCGTTCACCTAGTAAATGTATTTTCAATAATCAAACAAGAATAGACCTAGTCACTTAAATTGAATCATCAATAATTAAGAATTACTTTAAAATAATATCAGTCATCCCATTATTGTATCGGCTTTTGAAATAATAGAAGTGTCACCAAAAGTAAATCACTAAAAAATGTAAAGAATTTTCCTTAAAATGTATTTATTATCATTGAAAAATAATATGAATTATCAAAAGAAAATTAAACAGTTATCTTTTTTAATGATTGATCCTCTTTCTCTGAGACAAAATCGCACGAAAAATCTGGGTGGTCATAAAAAACATGATTTCTAACCTAATTTAGGGTCGTCTGACCTAATGAAGGGTCCTGTTTTAGCATAAATTGGCCGGTTCGACCACGGCATCACGAAAAACAAGTGTTAAGCAATTCTTTCTTTGCCTTTACCGAGTGAGTGAGCTTCTGAGTAAGGTGCTCAACGGTGGAAGACGATTAAACTAGAGCTTATCCAGAATGAACTGCTACTGGCCCCCGTAAACTGTTTGGTTTTAGTCGGTTGGACTCCAATACAAGCGTCATAGTTCAAAAGGTGAATTTATTATGTGTTTTCATTTCAGGTAGTAGTAATTTTCTTAATGAAAAACCTTCTGAACTTAATGTAGTTTACTCTAGTATTGAGAGTTGAGTTTTTGAAAAAGCAAAGAAATGTGTCGTAATAAATTTCTTATAAAATGGAGAAAACTAAAAAAATAATATTTTGCCTGTGAGTGTAAATAAACTAGATATGGATTACGTTCACTTAAGGGATTAACAGTTTAGTAATCATTATCAATATAATGATCGGCTGTGAGGATAAATAAAAGGTATAAAATTACACGAATTGATAGTAAGACAACAGTGATAGGTGTGGCTACTCTTCGATTATGGGTCCACTTATCGTGTTCGTAGCTTTTCTGGCTGCAGTTGCAGGAATTGATCTACCACATCCATCTACATTTGCTACGATTTTCAATGAAGATCAGTTCGAAGATTATCTGGATTCTTGGCTTGCACAGGAAGAACCCAAATGGGCAAATGCATCTAGTTTATTTGGATACACAGAAATTACTCCTCGAAGTGGTAAATACATTTTAATTACATTTACATTTGATATGGAATGTTTTAATTATATTTAGTTAGAAACTCCAGTTGCTATCGATATCGCTATCGATATACTCTCTAAGTAGGTAAATGTTAAATATTTTAGATGTACTGTAGAAATAAAAGGAAATAAATAATTAATAAAATAGTTAAGTCTTTGTTAAAGTAATTAAAAGCCTTTCAAAGAAAGCATGCTTGGGGAAACTACCTTTCCAAGTCGATTATTGTAAAGAGCACGTAGTGATTAAGCATATCATTAATTGCAAATTCTAATATGAAATCTATGGTAATTTTTTTAATATTATAGCCCCTTTGACTCTCTGTTCTTATCTATCTCGGTCCAGGTTGTACGTTCAGAATAAATGGAGATCTTGGTCAGCCTCAACCTGTGTATATTCACAGTGGCACGTATCTACGACCAAATGGTAACACAGGACAAATACGCCTCAACGCCGGCCAGCAGGTTACCATTGCATGCCCCGGACGCACCATCCGACATCCTAATATTGCTTCAACAGTCGCCGTTGCTGTACGTATACAAAAGGATTATTATTTTAAGGCTACTATTTGTGAAATGTACATAGATGAAAGGAAATCTAAGTTTAATTCATTTTTTTTATACTCATTTCAAATAATTCTATAGTGTAAGTTTCTTATTCGCATTTTTTATCATAAGCCATTTGAAAACGTCTATTAATTATAAACTCCATTTATATTAATACGGAAGTGAGTGTAGTATTCTTTGTATTGAGTTTTGTTTCTGACATATTTTTGTTTATGCAGACCGCAACATGTGTAAGCAACAATTTAGTATCTGGCGCTGGTTGGTTAAACGGCAATAGAGCGTTTGGTCAACTGACTTGCTCAAATCATGCTTACCATGAAGCCCAAGCCACGAACAGCAGATGTTGGGGAAATAACATAGTAATTCGGTAAGCATTTTTGTCTTGAATGACCACTGCTTAAGTAAGTCTAATAATCATTATCTGCCTATCGCAGTACACTGCTGGATAAAGGCTCTCCTATTGCACGCCACTTCGATCGATTTTCAGTTTTTCGCATCTAGCACCTGTCATCTTGCCAGATCGTCACTCCACCTGGCCTGTGAGCGTCCTACGTTGACTCAGACGCGGTCTCCACAGAAGAACTCGTTTACACCTACGGTTGTCGGTTCTGCTGTTAATATGGCCAACCCACTGCTACTTCAGCTTATTAATCAAGTGGGTTATTCCTGATGCGATCCCTTAGCCCTTTCCATAGCACACTGAGCGTCTTTAAGCTTGTGGACCGTGTGGACCTCTATACCGTAGGTGTCCATATCTCGGCTCTGTACGTCGTGACAGGTAGGACGCACTTATTGAAGACTTTCGTCTGTAGGCACTGTGGGATCTACGATGAGAATAGTTGACGAAACTTCGAAAACGCTCCCCAAATCAACAGAATTTTTTCATTCAACTCGTCCTCGAAGTTGTTTCTACCTAACTGCAATGTCTGCCAGAGGTACATATATTTTTGAACATCTTTAAGAACGGCAACGCGGTGCCGGTAGTACGTGTTCATTGAATATTACCTTGGTTTTATTAATCCAATTTCATCCGTCGGCCGATGCGCATAAAAGAATCAGCCAGGTCATTTAGTATGCAGCGTCTCTGCTATTATATATGTCTACAAATTGCGAGTGAGAGTTATATTTGCCATTAAAATTGATGCCACACCCTTTCATATGCAGCGTCTTGAGCATGTCCTCCATTGCATTTGTGAACAATTTCGGGGATGTCCCCTTGTCTTACTCCTCGATGCAACGGTATGAGCCTCGTTTGCTGATTCTGTACTTGGACAGACATGGCTGCGGCTTCGCACTGATATCTCATCACTTGGATGTACTTGGCAACGCTGCAGGGACTTCACAACAGACCAGATTTCGATCGAGCCGAAGGCCTTTTCACAGTCCACGAATGATAGACACAAGGGCTCATTATACTCTTCGGTCTTCTGTATATGTAGATGTGGTCTATGGTGCCATTTTCTCTTCGAAACTCGGCTTGCTCCTGTGCTTGGAATTCGTCGAGTCCTCGCACAAGACGGTTCATAATGATTCTTGAAAACAACTTGTAGAAGTGGCTTAAAAGGAAAATGGGTCGATAGTTCTTCAACATGTTCTTGTCACTCTTTTAAAAAATAGGACGACCACACTGCTACTCCACGCCTTCCTAATAATATTCAAATTGTACATAATGTTTTAGTGTTGGATTCATCGTGAACAATGTTTTCCATACACTGTACCATTCTTGCTTCAATCAACAACGCATGGAAGTACTTTATGTCTGGTATGAACAGTCTCGTGAAAACGGAATTCACCAGACTGGTGTTGATAGACCCAGCTTTCTTCGTAAGTATAAAATATTTAAAGCACATTTAATAATATGGAAAAAGTCAACAGATTATATATTTTAATACTACTTGCAGCTGGTTCGTTTTACCCGGGTGTTTCTGTTAACAACATGTATACTCAAGCTGAACAAAAGAGGACCATTGCTCAGTACATTGGTCAAGCTCAAGCTGATAGATTGATCACCAACCATCAGTTCCTCGCACGTGGCCACCTTGCCTGTAAAAGTGATTATGTTTTCGCTACCGGTCAACGCGCAACTTTTTATTTCATCAACGCTGCTCCTCAGTGGCAACCTTTTAATGGTGGAAACTGGAACACATTGGAACAAGTATGTTTTAGTTTATAGCAACTAAGTAATTCTAGCTGCAGCTTTAAAAAAATATCAGTTGTATCTGTATAATTTGTAACTGAAGCTGTAAAGATGCTTGTCATCACAATTTTAGTTGAGAGATTTTATAGTTATTCAATTTATTTCTGTAGAATCTCCGTGCTCGTATCGCTGCTGCGAATTATAGAACCACTATTTACACTGGCACCTTCGGCGTGACTCAACTGCGTGACCAAAACAACCGACTTGTTGACATATTTTTGGTTCGTCAGAACAATCGGATACCAGTGCCTCTGTATTTCTACAAGGTATGTATAACAAAACTTTGAATTAGAAAGAAAGAAAGAAGAAGTTTACATTGCAACACAATCGCAATATTATTGTACAGCTTCAGAACATATATAGTATTTTAACACGTAACGAATTACAATATAATATAGTATTAAACACAGTAATAATTAACATATTACCAGGTACCTGGGTCTGGTCCTAGACGGTAGGTGGCTCTTCGACGAGCACTTCCGACAGCTTGGTCCGAAGCTGGTGGACACTGCCTCCGCCCTAGGGCGACTTTTGCCCAATTTGGGCGGGGCCAGTGTTCCCACGAGGCGGCTGTACGCGGGGGTTGTCCGGTCCCTGGCGCTTTATGGTGCACCGGTGTGGGTGGCGGCTCTGACTGCCCCGAATAGGGCGCGCCTCTGGTGTCCACCGAGGCGGCTTGCGCCTTGGCCGGAATACCCCCGAAGGCGTGCGCGAGTGGCGCGAGGCCGCTCGCCGAGCCACCATGGTCAGATGGTCGTTCCGGCTGGAGACTCCACGCGCTGGCTTCGCCGCCGTGGAGGCTCTCCAGCCGGTCATCGCCGAGTGGGCAGGGCGGCAGCACGGGACCCTTACCTTCCGGCTGACGCAGGTGCTTTCCGGGCACGGTTGCTTCGGAAAGTACCTGCACTCGGTCGCTAGGAGGGAACTGAGTCCCGCCTGCCACCACTGCGACTGCAGTGAGGACTCGGCCCAGCACACGCTGGCGGCCTGCCCTGCATGGGCGACGCAGCGCCGGGCCCTCACTGCAGTCATCGGAGCAGATCTCTCGCTACCGGCTGTAATTCGCTCCATGGCCGGTAGCGACAGTTGTTTTACCGCGGTCGCAACCTTCTGCGAGGAGGTAATCTCGCAGAAGGAGGCGGCGGAGAAGGCCCGGGAGGACGACCTCCACTCGGACCTAATTCGCCGCCGGCGAACCGGGCGGCGGAGGCGCGCTCACCTGCGCCTCATGCCGCCCTGAGTGTGGCCGCGGTTGGACGGGATGGGTTCTCCCCTCCACCCGCATTAGTTGGCCAGCCGCGAGGGGGCGGCGTCCGCGTGTGAAGGACGTCGCCTAAAGAGAGGAAAGTTTTGAGACGGAGCCCACAACAGGAGCGGGCCGGCGCTGGGAGGGTCCAGAAGGCGATAACCACCTGGACCCCTCCTAAACTGGAATCGCAAAGAGGGCACACCGTGTGGTTTTAGCCGGTTCGAGTCCGACACACCGCCCCCTCGAACGAGAGCCCCGGCGGGGTCGTCACCCCGCCGGGGCTCTCGTTCGACGGGGCGGACCGTCGTCCGAGGGGATTTCCACACGTAAAAAAAAAAAAAAAAGGCTCGAAAGAGGCATATATTTGTATGTCATTTTACAAAATTTAATATAATCTGTGACGTCAGCGCTGTACAGAATAAATGTAAGAGAGCCCAAAATAGATCCTTGAGGCACCCCCCTCGATCAGGAGCGATTGGAAGAATAAATTTTGCTTCCATCATCTCGGTTGGTCAAATAGCTCTCGAACCATTTCACCGCGCCTACGTCAAAGCCATAGTAGGAAAGCTTTAAAAGCATCAGTGTAATATTCATGCAGTCAAATGCACGGGAAAAGTCTAAAAGGGCTAATAACGTACCTTTACCCTTTTCACGAGCACCTAGAATATTATCCACAACATCTAACAAGGCAGTGCATGTAGTACGTTTCTTCGTTTTACTACCCTTTCTAGAATTTTTGACCTATATGGTAGAATACTAATAGGAGGTAAGTCGTTAATACTCAGTGGATCGGAGCATTTTGGTATTGGTCGGACTACAGCCAGTCCCGATAAGTGCTTAAATGTATGACTGTCAATTGATCTGTTTGTAATCAGCGTGATGATCTTTAGTGACTGGGGCAAACTAAGAGTCAACATATCGAGCGTCCATCCACAGCTTGAGCTTTAGATTTTAACTGTGTTAATATTTTAAGATTACATTACTCATTCACTGTCCTCGACGAAAAATTGGCCTGAGAGTGTCTGTGAAATTCATAATACGAGTAGGTCAGATCTGATTTACTTATTTCACACAATTACCTGGAGTTTCGACCCGTTGGACCCAATGAGGTTGCAACGTCGGCTAGTGCAACTTGGTGGCAACATTATTATCTAAACAATAAATGATATCTATAAATTAATGATATTTAAAAAATGTTTTATTATAGGTGGTATATGACTCGTCTCGTCGTCAAGGAACAGCCTTCATAGGCATTAACAACCCCTACTATACTGCGGCCGAGGTTCGCCGACTCACATTCTGTACAGACCGTTGCCGCAACAATAACGCCTTCAGCTGGCTCCGCTGGCATCCGGACCGTATTGATATGGGATACAGCTTCTGCTGCACTATCGATGATTTCAGGAGGACTGTCCCTCACCTACCCTCTTTCACCACCACGGGTCTCCTGACATAAACAATAAATGTAAATGTGTTAGTATAAGTACTTTGGATTAAATTTGTTTTCTACGCCTCTGTTTGAAAATTGATTTAAAATTATATTTTATGTCAAAACCTTTACAGTTTGCTTTCTCCGGGTTCTTTGCGAGTTTTACACTAAGCATCATATTAAACCATTTATTTCTATTTTTGTACAAATTTGTTTAAATGAATATGAATATATCACGACTTACAAATATTGTAAATTTGCATGTGAACTTTTGCCTGGCAATATAGTTACAATATCATCTACAGTTAGAAGCGATGATACGTTTTTGTTATTGTGACGCATCAAGAGGACGCATCATGGAGGCAAATAATGGATTTGTTCTAGGAGCGAACAACTTAAAAGAAAAATACGTAGTCAGATTAAGAAATAAATGTGTATGTAATATGTAATCAATATTTGCGTCTATCCCTATATTTGTCTAGTATCATTAAACATTTTGCTCAAGTAAATCAGTTTCACGGACTTATAAACTTTTCTTATTAAAACCAAATAATGTTACTATCAAATGTATACCTACATGATAAATAATATAATTGAAAAAATATAAGCAGAATAATAATAAAATAGTTAGCTGGGCATTTCACACAGGGAAATAAACACAACACATTGCATTATTTAAAAGCTATTATGAATGCATTATAGAACTTTCTCCACGCTCGAATAAAATAGTAAATTTTACAATTCATGTGGTCGGGTGGCATTAGAGACATTACGGCAAAGGCGAATGCGTCAAGTTCTAATTCCTACGTTGTAAAACCTTCTTTTTACCCGAGTACAGCAGAAGGAGGCTTACATATTTCGAGTGTAAGTATGTACATATGCATATGTCTTTAATACGCTCTGTAGCCTAAGCGGCTTGATACATTTGAAGTTTGAACTTCAAACCTTAACGACCACGACACGACAATCAAATGACACTCAAAGTTTGAAGTGTCGTTAGATTCGTCTTAGTCGTAATTTTAACACTTTGTATGTCAAAATTAAAAAAATTAAAATCACCGGTTCGTAAATTTTAAGGGTGATTATGTTTTCTATTACAAATGATCATATCATTTTTAATCACTGTTTAGTATATAAGATTTTTTTATGACCAGAGGATCAATAATTAAGAAAGACTGTTTAAATTCATTCATTATCCATCGTTAACAAATACATTTTTAACATTTTATGTATTTGTTAACGTTTCAATTTTGGTGACACTTTTATTATTTTGAAATCCAATACAATTATTTGATGCTTGATATTATTTCCAAATAATTAATAGTTAGGTTACCATTTTGATATCACTTAGTGATTCAATTTAAGTAACACAACTAATATTTTAGGATCTAATATTTAACTTCAAAAACACAATATATTTAGGATCTAATATTTAACTTCAAAAACACAATATATTTAGGATCTAACATGTAATATTTATTAAATTTTTGAAAATACATTTATAAGTAATATTAGCTATTGTTTAATAACAAGAAATCATAAAAGTATACAAGAAACATATAATATCGGGGTTAAAACTCATCTACTTCATACGATTTTTTGCAAATAAAGTGTCGGTCACTTCAATTTTTAAAGATAACCTCTAGATCAGAAATTAAAACTAATAACGTAGAACGGTTTTGAAACAATAATAATTTGCAAATCTATGAGTGAAGAAACGTGTTATTTACAATTCACACGGTTGTAAACGTACGATAATATACTTACCGGGATAACACACACATGTAAACCTAACCAGATATTTCGTTTGTCGTGCGCGTACACTAAATAAAAAGGAGACATACATTTTCAATACGTTTAATTTTACAGCTTTAAGGTTCTATTGCTTGGAAGCAGATGTGTGTGTGAGAGTAAACATATATGTACATGAACAAAATAAGGTAACGTCAAAACCGCTCCGTCGCTAAATATCGTATGTTAATAGTTCCGGTAATTTCTACCATAGTTAGTTTAAGTAATAGCAGTCCTGAGAAACGCATCTCAACTAAAATCATTTACTCTTTATTTACGCGCCTAGTCCAGAGGGCCTAAGTTCATAGAGCCTTTTTTTTTGTTGACGGGGTGGAAAATCCCTTCTCATCTCCGGCTCCTTGGGAATGTAGGAGCCAGGAGGATGTGGTGTTTCCACTAAAAACCACCTCGACGGCCGGACTCAGGCCCCCTACTAGGAGGACCATGTCAATTTAGGTCCCCCCCCCCAGATCGACGCCGCGTACATTGAAGCCCTATCCCGGGGAAGCTGCGGGCTTCCGCCGCCTATCGGCCCAATCCTTATGATATGTTGCGACCCGATCGCATTTTTGAGACCAGGCCACCATCCTATCGCCTACCGCAGCAGTTAAAGTACCACCAGAGGTCCCCTACCTCTGGCAGCCTGCGGCACCGTCAACGGCTGGTATCGCCGCCGACGTCCTCTATGCTCGGGATCGGCCCTCTCCCGATCCCGTTCAGCGGTGTCTTTATGGAGCATTACAGCTTCACAGAAAGAGACTACTGCGCCCCAGCCCTCCTCACCTGCCAGCATGGCAGCAATAATTGCTGGCGGGGACAGGTCTCATCCGATTTGGTCGACCAGGACTTCGCGTTCCGACGCCCATGCGGGGCAGTCTTCATGCGGGGCAGTGGTGGAGTCCGGTCATAGACCCTCGCGTCCATATCCGCCAGGATATCAAAAAACGGGAACTAGCCAGAACTGTTGCCGCCTCCGACGAAATGGTGCGGTATCCCGAATGGCAGCTACCCGCTGCTCTTTATTGAGCTTAGCTCGGCAGCGGGAGGAGGCCGATAGGCGCTTGGCGCATATCGGCGCTCCGTAGAGGGCCATGGATCGTATCACCGCACAGTAGAGGCGGCGAACTTCCTCCCGCGGACCCCCTAGATTAGGCAACAGCCTCTGTGGGGAGCCCGTCAAGTCCAGAGAGCCTAGTGCATGATTATTTCAAATCAACCCGCTCTCGACAGCAAGCGCGTTCGGCGTTGCGATTGGTGAAAGTTTAAGTGTGGGCCAATCACAACGCCGATAGCTTCATGATAGTTTATTTAGACTAATAAATACTGCTGATATTGATATCCCCTATTGTCATTAATAATTAAGAGACAATTAACATACAGAAAACACATTCCAGCGAATCCAGAATCTCCGTTTCTTTGTCGATTAATAAACAAATAAATTTTAATTACTTATGTAAGTACAACACACAAAATAAGTTATCGATGTCTAGCTTTTGGTCAATCCTCTTGTCAGATGCAGTTATTTTTCAGGGATATAATGTTATTTTCACGAACACACATTGATTAAATATTGCGATATAGAAAAATAGAGCTTTTACTGCATAAATTAATTGCAATTTAAAATAGTTTTCTGCAGATTTTCTTCGAAAATAAACACGTAATAAAGTTGTGCAAAGATAATAGTGTTGAATTTCAAGTATTTATCTCCCATTAAAATGTTACTTTATTTGCATTTTTGTTGTATGATACACCGCTACCTAACACAGAAGACCACACTATTATTTTTATATTTATATGTATAAAAATACAGAAAGATTTACTTTCAAACATGATTATACAGGTGAATTTTTTGGCAGGAGACTATTGGAGACTACAGTTTTTGAAAGTTGTTATATGGCACACGCGGACGAAGCCCCCTCGGGAACCCACCCCTTGAAACAAACACTATACCAACCCGTCTGGCCAGCGTGGCATAGTAGACCAAAACCTCCTTCCTAAGGAGAGGCCTATGTCCAGCAGTGGACTATTATAGGCTGTTGATGAATTGATGTTGATATGGTCCAATTCGTTTGTCTCCTTTTCGTTCACATGGTTTTGTATGGTAAGGTATCTCATTCGCACTTATTGTTTGTTTATGACACTAGAATACCAAGTGTTTTTTTGTTGTCTTTTTAAAAATTGTGTAAGGCTGGGCGGTAAATCTCTCTTAATACTAGGCTTATCTTCTCTTCCTGATCGATGCATCAACACGAAGCGGTGCAAATTTGTGGTGCTCGTTTTATATACCGTGAAACGAACTAATCTTCTATATCGAAAGTCTTTATACATTAATAGCCAAGAGGTTGTGCTACGTTTGGTTGCATACAGATTCTTGCTCCTTTCCTTTACGATACAGGTACTCCCCCAAGCAGCCAACTTGTCGTAATAAGAAAAGTCAGTGACCTCATTTGTTTGTTGTTGCTTTATCTTTTGCTTTATGATGTGTGATGAAATTGAAAACAAACTTATCAGTTGTTAACTTGACGTATTACTTTTTAATATTATATGTGTTTTGGGCGTTGTTTTCAATATAAACAGTATATATATCTAATAACAAAAAAAAATTTTACTCCTAATTAGTTGTTATCTTCAATGTTAATACATTCTCAAATGCCTTATGTAATGTTGAGAACCATTCAACGTAGTCGAACTGTATTAGACTACGTACACTATTCCCTAAGACTCCAGATAAGGCGATCAATAAGAGGTATACACAATAGGTAGAAGTGAAAGTTCGTATAATTTAACAAGTTCAAAGTTCAAGGTTCAGAAAATGATAACAATAAGAAAACGTAATAACCGCTAATAATTAGTGTAACAGTGAAAATATAAGTCATGTTTTTGCAACGCTTTCTTATTAATAATATTTACCTGGAAAACCATTACCTACTTTTTCTCAAAATGTATTATACATAGAAACTCTTAATAGAATAAAGGAATTAAATAGTCAAAAATAAACATAATTAGTAGGTATGTTAAAATAAATGCATGTCATACAAATATTTGCATTAAGTGGGCGTTGTGCCTTTCGTGACTTTTCAAACATAATGATTGTTAATAGGTTATAAAAAAGAACAAAGAAACCATACGTGGTACTATTATGAACTGGGGATTCCACATAATTAATTATTGCAGGAATTATGAGCGATTAATGGGTTGGGACACTTTTAATTTTAACTATTATCAATTTTGTTTTA